CCCCCCCCCCCCCCCCGGGAAAAAATATAGCAAGAACTTTGAGGCAAAAGAACTCTAGCGCTGTAATTAATGTTCTCCATGTCTCTATCTGCCACCGAGGAAAGAAACGCCATATTTTCTTGTAGTGTTGTAATTTTGGCTTCATACAATTGTCTGAGCCAGTATTTTGTGTTTATTTTTAAACTAAGCAAAGAGCAGATCGTCTATGCCGCAGCTAGGTCATAGAAACAGAAATAGTTCTAGTACATGTGGTAGATGGTCAAGACCTTTGGTACTACTTACCTCGTCTAGACAGGCTTGGTGTTGTTTCCTGGTTAAAGTGAACTCTTGTTTTATCTTCTCACTCTGGAAAAAAAGAAGGAAAATTATTCAAAAAAATATAAGATACTGAGCTGGTAATCTTATGATTAAGAGACGGACAATGATTTTTTTGCATGTTCGTATTGAAAAAAATCCGTAAATTGTCTCAAAACGCCTGTTCTTCAATACGATGCAATACGCGTTGGCTTTCAATATTACTAGCTTGAGCTTTGGGAAGTGGTTCTCACGGCAAGGACAATGATGCGGGCGTTGAAGGGAGGCTCGCAGCGTGGATCCACCTCGGCAACGCTGCGTAGGAAGCGAAATCGTAGAAATGGTATCGAGTTTAAGATTGCAGGGTTGGACACACGCATCATCATCATTTAATTATTATTCCATCCAAGAGATTACATATACAACCTATATAAAGCATGCAACGTTGTATATTGCATCTGTGCCTTGTATCTGTGCCTTGGTTCTGATGATGTACAATCTTCACATCACTATGAATCCTAATGTAGTTCAAATCATGTTAAACACGCACCTCTTCTACTATCAGTCTGTGTTTTTCTTGTAAAGTCGCTAGTTCGACCTTCAGTATTACCATCTGTTCGTCTCGTTTGGATAGTTCTTGTGACTGTCGATGAAGCTTGTCTTGTGCAGCGTTAAGCTGGTTTTTAAGATCTTCGACACTTCTTACGTAGTGATGAACCTGAATCAAGAAACAGCATGCGTCACACAACCAGACCGCAGACTACTTAACATAGGGAGTCCACAGCGATTCCCAATCATGGTTGTGATTGCTTAACTCCTTCCCCCCTGAAGCCATGACAGGACGGTCAGAACTCAATGTTCCGCTGTTAGGTTCACATATATAAGAAAGGCTATGATTGGTCACCTCGCCGTCAGTTTGTTTGTTCTTATCCTGATTTCGCTTCAACTCTGTTCTAGCCTTCTTTAACTTATCTTCTAAGGCAATAATCTGAAAACAAGATTTGAAAGAGTTACGTTTGACTAAAATGAAGGCAATACTACTGCAAAGGTCAGGTGCTAGACGCTATGCGTCTTTCTTGGTGTAGAAAGTTTTATTGTATTTTGTTTTGCTGGGTAATTGTTCAGCTCCAAATTCATTATCCTTGGCTAATGTATTGTTGTCTTCGTAACTCAGGTGTCTCGTACCTCCAAGAAGAGTCAACGTTTTAAGGACGGTGAGATGGATGAGAGGTGATAGAGAATCTACCGGTCCTCACTTACTTGTTCCTCCATTGCTTGGGCTCGTTGTTTCGTGGTGGCGAGTTCGGTTTTAACATTGGCAAGTTGTTTTGATCGTTGCGTTAACTAGAATAAAGAAACACAACATGTGATCATGATATGACATAAAATAAAGGCATGTTGATAGGACAAAAAGGGGGAAAATAAGTACATGAGGTTAGAAAAACAATATATATACAAGGGAGGCGGATTCTGAAATCCCTGAAATTTTGCAGATTGGAAATCAAAATACAAACGCGAAAAGAGGAAATCTGGGATGTAATACGAGAAATCTGGAATCCAAGATAAGGAATCAAGGATGCGTTACTGGGACTCCGTTTCCAATATATGTTCTCAGAATCTTCACCATCGTTTTACATTTCTTCTAACCCCAAACTTAGTTAAGAGCGGCGCCATCAAATTTCATCGATACCTTGAAAAAGCCTCTGTGCTGATCAAAGTCATGGCACGGCTAACTCACTAATCGGATTTGAATTTAGCGTGTTAAGATTTAGAAATTACACTACATCCTACTTACCTATGTGATGCAATCAATGCAGATAGTATCACATACCTGTTCCATGGCCTCTTTATGGTTGCCGTGAGCACTAGACAGCTGTGTTTTCAAGACATGCACGCTCTTCTCAAGGGCTCCGATCTGAGAATGACAAACAAATGAATCTCAAGACCGCTACAGCTAAAAAACATACATTGAATGCTTTGATCTTATGGCGCTTTCAAGTCTAGTTTTCACTTAGAAGTAGCTAAAATCTGTCAAATTATTTTCACCTGTGAGGTAGATGTCTTGTGGTTGTCTTGAGTTCTGCCCAGGTCTGATTGTAGTTGATGTAGCGTTTCTTCATAACGACGAACCTTTGGTTGTAGAAAAGAAAACGTGCTCGACATTTACCGTTCCATATTCCCATTGGCTATCTACTTTAATCTAACTACATCCTTCCTTATTTACAACTATTTACTAATGCTACGTACTCTGTCTGCCTGGTCACTATGCATCTGCATTCTGATTGGCTTTTTCTCAGACCCCCATTGTTTGGTACATATGGTTACCTCGTTGCTATGGTTTTTGATCTTTTTCTGAGCTGCACCCAAGTCTGTTCTCAACAGTCTGATATCAGAGTCACGTGCGGCAATCTGAAGGAAAAGTATAATTGTCAAGAAATTTATATCCACTTTCATCTAAATACACCAGTTTCGTAGTGATGTATACCGAGCAGGCTTAGTCTCATTTGCACAGGCTTAGCCTCGTTTATAAGTAAAATTTCAAAACATTCGTATTGTTCAACATACACATTCTTTACATTATAGTTGACTTTTGCCAATCGTTTTCTCTTAAGCGAGATAAGCCTGTGCAGATGAGTCTTCAGTCGTAAAACACAGCGGTTTTCAGAGAATGCAAAAGGGACTATTCTCAGTTACTCAGGATTATCCTCGTTCCTAGGGCCTTCTATTCTCGCTTTTTTTCAAGATGGCGGCGCTTGRAGGGAAGAATAGAATAGAATATCCACCTTTTCCAGTGAAGATCCGTAGAATTTAAGTGTTCGCACTGTTAATGCTATGCATTATTTAATTTATCGTTGTTCTTTGGGAATATACTGATGCTGAAATGAGGCTAACCCTGAGTAAATGATTCTGTTGTAATCGAGGAAGATAACGCCGTTAACTTAGAAACTATAAAAAAGGTTAATCACGCGACTCAGATAACTAGCCATAATTCGAGTGGCGTGGGTCAGTTTTAGCTCAGTCTTAATGATCTGAGTTAGCATTTTTTGATCGCGGAAGTCAAACGAACACGTCTTGTGCCTGTTTTTGGCGTAATATGAAAATGAATGTAATAGATTGATATAAAGGAGTCTCCGTTACACGCGCATATACCGCTGGAACTTGTTTCGCGCAAATAAATCCTATGTACCTCTCCCATGATATTCTTATTCTTTTCCAAAACTCCACCTAGTTCTTCTCTCAATTGTCCAGCGGCCTTTTCCTTTTCTCGAATCTACAAAATAAACAGCAAAATAATAATGATTATTACTCGTTTTGGTAGTAAAATAACCTAAGATCTGTTTACCTGTTCCTTCATATCCTGGTTCTGCTGAATGAAATGAGTGATTTTGTTCTCCTGCTCTTCGATAACACCTTGACACTGACGAATCTAAAAAGAGAAGCACACATACTTGGTCATACATGGCTGATATGGAACCTCATATACAATGATGATTGGAGTGCTCAAGTACTTTTGGTGGGGCGCGCAAAAATGCGCA